AGAGGTCGTTTGTGTAGGCAGCTCTTTGGGTCGCTGGAGGTAATGGGGCCACAAGCGTGTGAAATTAGTGCAAACGGCTTAAGCCTTAGTACTTGTTTGGGATTACTTTTATCTATTCACACAACTTGAAATAAAATTTTTCTCATATCATTACCTCATATTTTGTAAATAAAAATTGAAAAGCTGTTTCTAAAACCGATAACGAGCAAATTGCTCGTATCTTACGACTGGAGGAAGAAATTAATAAAATTGATCCAATACTGACTGATGTTATGACCAAGTTGACGATCGCCAGTGAACATTTGTATGGCATACTCATAACCCATATCTATCGTGCAGCGAGTTGTTGTGCCAATTACTTGCGAAATAATGCACGGTTTCTCAAGTCTCGCACTGCCCTTAAAAGTTAACCAAAAAGCATGTTTAGGAGACTTAAGAAAATGGTCTGACAGAGATAACAAGAAATTCTTCTGGTATGTTTATTTCATTAATATTTCACAACAAATGTATTTGTTGCATTTATATGTCAACAATAAAAAATCTGTGATCTTCCTGCAATTGACGGAGAACAAGGCATGCAAAGAAGTTATTGTCTTCATGAGCAAGGAGAGGTGTGTTGCTGGCTTTTGCATGCATATGCAGATTCTCATTATACTCTACCATTGCCTTGTATATGCACGTTCTCATTATACTCTATCATTGTTTTGCTTATATACGCTATGCCTGTGCAATGCAAGAGGGAACTAGCTTCTAATTTTGCTTCATGTTATCTTCTCTAACAATAGTTTATAACGTATGCATACTGAGGTAAATTAAACAATAAAATATAGATGTCATGGTACTCCTCAATTATGATAAGACAGAATAATGAGCAACAGAGTATAATAACTAATTGCCTAATATAATTTGCTATCAAGTAAAATTAATTCATTGGTTATATATATAGTTTTACTTGATTTTCAATTCTTTTTTTGTTTTTTTCCCATTGAATATATTATAACAGTTCAAGCTGGTTTGGAAATCATTTTCAACATAACAGAGATGGGATGGGCGATCTCGGTCTTTTTCCCGTAAGGGTTCTGATACCATGTTTCGGTAGAGAAAGCATGTGTGACGACACGTCGAATAAAGATAGGTGTCTAAAGGATTAGGGCTCTGATACCATGTTTCGATAGAGAAAGAGAGAAAACATTAGAAATGAATATTATTTGTATATTCTGGAGTGAGATGAGTACATCTGTACATACAAGATACACGTACAAAGAATCCTTAGTGAAAGTTGAGCTGAAAACCGATAACGAGCAAATTGCTCGTATCTTACGACTGGATGAAGAAATTAATAAAATTGATCCAGTACTGACTGATGTTATGACCAAGTTGACGATCGCCAGTGAACATTTGTATGGCATACTCATAACCCATATCTATCGTGCAGCGAGTTGTTGTGCCAATTACTTGCGAAATAATGCACGGTTTCTCAAGTCTCGCACTGCCCTTAAAAGTTAACCAAAAAGCATGTTTAGGAGACTTAAGAAAATGGTCTGACAGAGATAACAAGAAATTCTTCTGGTATGTTTATTTCATTAATATTTCACAACAAATGTATTTGTTGCATTTATATGTCAACAATAAAAACAAGAGTGATTTGGACACCTCCACGAAAGATGTTCTTGAAGTTCAATGTGGACGGAAGTTGTTCTGGAGGCAAAGGAGGTTTTGGCGGATTGTTCAGGAGCCCAGCTGGTGATATTCACTCTTTTTACGCCAAACACTTGAAAGAAACTACTAGCTTTCAAGTAGAGTTATTATCCGTTCAAGCTGGTTTGCAAATCATTTTGAAGAAATCCTTAAAGAAGATTGAGCTGGAAACCGATAATGAGCAAATTGCTCGTATCTTACGGCAGGATGAAAAAATTAACAAAGTTGATCCAATACTGACTGACGTTATGACCAAGTTGACGTTTGCCAGTGAACATCTGTATGACGTCCGCATAAACCATATCTATCGTGCAGCCAATTGTTGTGCCAATTACTTGGCAAATAATGCACGGGTTCTCAAGACTCGCCCTCCCATTAGAGTTAACCGGAGAGCATGTTTTGGAGAATTAAAAAAATGGGCTGACAGAGATAACAAGAAATTCTTCGGGTATGTTTATTTCATTAATATTTCACAACATTGTATTTGTTGCATTTATACATCAACACTAAAAAATCTGTGATCTTCTGCAATTGACGGAGAACAAGGCACGCATAGAAGATATTGTCTTCGTGAGCGAGGGGAGGGGTGTTGCTGGGTTTTGCATGGATATGCATATTCTCATTGTACCTAACATTGTCTTGTATATGCGGATTCACATATTATCCAATCATTGTTTTGTTGATATACGATATGCCTGTGCAATGCAAGAGGGAACTAGCTTCTAATTTTGCTTATGTTATCTTCTCTAACAATAGTTTATAACGTATGCATACTGAGGTAAATTAAACAATAAAATATAGATGTCATGGTACTCCTCAATTATGATAAGACAGAATAATGAGCAACAGAGTATAATAACTAATTGCCTAATATAATTTGCTATTAAGTAAAATTAATTCATTGGTTATATATAGTTTTACTTGATTTTCAATTCTTTTTTTGTTTTTTTCCCATTGAATATATTATAACAGTTCAAGCTGGTTTGGAAATCATTTTCAACATAACAGAGATGGGATGGGCGATCTCGGTCTTTTTCCCGTAAGGGTTCTGATACCATGTTTCGGTAGAGAAAGCATGTGTGACGACACGTCGAATAAAGATAGGTGTCTAAAGGATTAGGGCTCTGATACCATGTTTCGATAGAGAAAGAGAGAAAACATTAGAAATGAATATTATTTGTATATTCTGGAGTGAGATGAGTACATCTGTACATACAAGATACACGTACAAAGAATCCTTAGTGAAAGTTGAGCTGAAAACCGATAACGAGCAAATTGCTCGTATCTTACGACTGGATGAAGAAATTAATAAAATTGATCCAGTACTGACTGATGTTATGACCAAGTTGACGATCGCCAGTGAACATTTGTATGGCATACTCATAACCCATATCTATCATGCAGCGAGTTGTTGTGCCAATTACTTGCGAAATAATGCACGGTTTCTCAAGTCTCGCACTGCCCTTAAAAGTTAACCAAAAAGCATGTTTAGGAGACTTAAGAAAATGGTCTGACAGAGATAACAAGAAATTCTTCTAGTATGTTTATTTCATTAATATTTCACAAAAATGTATTTGTTGCATTTATATGTCAACAATAAAAACAAGAGTGATTTGGACACCTCCACGAAAGATGTTCTTGAAGTTCAATGTGGACGGAAGTTGTTCTGGAGGCAAAGGAGGTTTTGGCGGATTGTTCAGGAGCCCAGCTGGTGATATTCACTCTTTTTACGCCAAACACTTGAAAGAAACTACTAGCTTTCAAGTAGAGTTATTATCCGTTCAAGCTGGTTTGCAAATCATTTTGAAGAAATCCTTAAAGAAGATTGAGCTGGAAACCGATAATGAGCAAATTGCTCGTATCTTACGGCAGGATGAAAAAATTAACAAAGTTGATCCAATACTGACTGACGTTATGACCAAGTTGACGTTTGCCAGTGAACATCTGTATGACGTCCGCATAAACCATATCTATCGTGCAGCCAATTGTTGTGCCAATTACTTGGCAAATAATGCACGGGTTCTCAAGACTCGCCCTCCCATTAGAGTTAACCGGAGAGCATGTTTTGGAGAATTAAAAAAATGGGCTGACAGAGATAACAAGAAATTCTTCGGGTATGTTTATTTCATTAATATTTCACAGCATTGTATTTGTTGTATTTAGACATCAACACTAAAAAATATGTGATGCTTCTGCAGTTGATGGAGAACAAGGCACGCATAGAAGATATTGTCTTCGTGAGCGAGGGGAGGGGTGTTGCTGGGTTTTGCATGGATATGCATATTCTCATTGTACCTAACATTGTCTTGTATATGCGGATTCACATATTATCCAATCATTGTTTTGTTGATATACGATATGCCTGTGCAATGCAAGAGGGAACTAGCTTCTAATTTTGCTTTATGTTATCTTCTCTAACAATAGTTTATAACGTATGCATACTGAGGTAAATTAAACAATAAAATATAGATGTCATGGTACTCCTCAATTATGATAAGACAGAATAATGAGCAACAGAGTATAATAACTAATTGCCTAATATAATTTGCTATCAAGTAAAATTAATTCATTGGTTATATATATAGTTTTACTTGATTTTTCTTTTTTTTTGTTTTTTTTCCCATTGAATATATTATAACAGTTCAAGCTGGTTTGGAAATCATTTTCAACATAACAAAGATGGGATGGGCGACCTCGCTCTTTGTCCCGTAAGGGTTCTGATACCATGTTTCGGTAGAGAAAGCATGTGTGACGACACGTCGAACAAAGATAGGTGTCTAAAGGATTAGGGCTCTGATACCATGTTTCGATAGAGAAAGAGAGAAAACATTAGAAATGAATATTATTTGTATATTCTGGAGTGAGATGAGTACATCTGTACATACAAGATACACGTACAAAGAATCCTTAGTGAAAGTTGAGCTGAAAACCGATAACGAACAAATTGCTCGTATCTTACGACTGGAGGAAGAAATTAATAAAATTGATCCAGTACTGACTGATGTTATGACCAAGTTGACGATCGCCAGTGAACATTTGTATGGCATACTCATAACCAATATCTATCGTGCAACGAGTTGTTGTGCCAATTACTTGCGAAATAATGCACGGCTTCTCAAGTCTCGCACTGCCCTTAAAAGTTAACCAAAAAGCATGTTTAGGAGACTTAAGAAAATGGTCTGACAGAGATAACAAGAAATTCTTCTGGTATGTTTATTTCATTAATATTTCACAAAAAATGTATTTGTTGCATTTATATGTCAACAATAAAAACAAGAGTGATTTGGACACCTCCACGAAAGATGTTCTTGAAGTTCAATGTGGACGGAAGTTGTTCTGGAGGCAAAGGAGGTTTTGGCGGATTGTTCAGGAGCCCAGCTGGTGATATTCACTCTTTTTACGCCAAACACTTGAAAGAAACTACTAGCTTTCAAGTAGAGTTGTTATCCGTTCAAGCTGGTTTGCAAATCATTTTGAAGAAATCCTTAAAGAAGATTGAGCTGGAAACCGATAATGAGCAAATTGCTCGTATCTTACGGCAGGATGAAAAAATTAACAAAGTTGATCCAATACTGACTGACGTTATGACCAAGTTGACGTTTGCCAGTGAACATCTGTATGACATCCGCATAAACCATATCTATCGTGCAGCCAATTGTTGTGCCAATTACTTGGCAAATAATGCACGGGTTTCTCAAGACTCGCCCTCCCATTAGAGTTAACCGGAGAGCATGTTTTGGAGAATTAAAAAAATGGGCTGACAGAGATAACAAGAAATTCTTCGGGTATGTTTATTTCATTAATATTTCACAGCATTGTATTTGTTGTATTTAGACATCAACACTAAAAAATATGTGATGCTTCTGCAGTTGATGGAGAACAAGGCACGCATAGAAGATATTGTCTTCGTGAGCGAGGGGAGGGGTGTTGCTGGGTTTTGCATGGATATGCATATTCTCATTGTACCTAACATTGTCTTGTATATGCGGATTCACATATTATCCAATCATTGTTTTGTTGATATACGATATGCCTGTGCAATGCAAGAGGGAACTAGCTTCTAATTTTGCTTTATGTTATCTTCTCTAACAATAGTTTATAACGTATGCATACTGAGGTAAATTAAACAATAAAATATAGATGTCATGGTACTCCTCAATTATGATAAGACAGAATAATGAGCAACAGAGTATAATAACTAATTGCCTAATATAATTTGCTATCAAGTAAAATTAATTCATTGGTTATATATATAGTTTTACTTGATTTTCAATTCTTTTTTTGTTTTTTTTTCCCATTGAATATATTATAACAGTTCAAGCTGGTTTGGAAATCATTTTCAACATAACAAAGATGGGATGGGCGACCTCGGTCTTTGTCCCGTAAGGGTTCTGATACCATGTTTCGGTAGAGAAAGCATGTGTGACGACACGTCGAATAAAGATAGGTGTCTAAAGGATTAGGGCTCTGATACCATGTTTCGATAGAGAAAGAGAGAAAACATTAGAAATGAATATTATTTGTATATTCTGGAGTGAGATGAGTACATCTGTACATACAAGATACACGTACAAAGAATCCTTAGTGAAAGTTGAGCTGAAAACCGATAACGAGCAAATTGCTCGTATCTTACGACTGGATGAAGAAATTAATAAAATTGATCCAGTACTGACTGATGTTATGACCAAGTTGACGATCGCCAGTGAACATTTGTATGGCATACTCATAACCCATATCTATCGTGCAGCGAGTTGTTGTGCCAATTACTTGCGAAATAATGCACGGCTTCTCAAGTCTCGCACTGCCCTTAAAAGTTAACCAAAAAGCATGTTTAGGAGACTTAAGAAAATGGTCTGACAGAGATAACAAGAAATTCTTCTGGTATGTTTATTTCATTAATATTTCACAAAAAATGTATTTGTTGCATTTATATGTCAACAATAAAAACAAGAGTGATTTGGACACCTCCACGAAAGATGTTCTTGAAGTTCAATGTGGACGGAAGTTGTTCTGGAGGCAAAGGAGGTTTTGGCGGATTGTTCAGGAGCCCAGCTGGTGATATTCACTCTTTTTACGCCAAACACTTGAAAGAAACTACTAGCTTTCAAGTAGAGTTGTTATCCGTTCAAGCTGGTTTGCAAATCATTTTGAAGAAATCCTTAAAGAAGATTGAGCTGGAAACCGATAATGAGCAAATTGCTCGTATCTTACGGCAGGATGAAAAAATTAACAAAGTTGATCCAATACTGACTGACGTTATGACCAAGTTGACGTTTGCCAGTGAACATCTGTATGACATCCGCATAAACCATATCTATCGTGCAGCCAATTGTTGTGCCAATTACTTGGCAAATAATGCACGGGTTCTCAAGACTCGCCCTCCCATTAGAGTTAACCGGAGAGCATGTTTTGGAGAATTAAAAAAATGGGCTGACAGAGATAACAAGAAATTCTTCGGGTATGTTTATTTCATTAATATTTCACAACATTGTATTTGTTGCATTTAGACATCAACACTAAAAAATATGTGATGCTTCTGCAATTGACGGAGAACAAGGCACGCATAGAAGATATTGTCTTCGTGAGCGAGGGGAGGGGTGTTGCTGGGTTTTGCATGGATATGCATATTCTCATTGTACCTAACATTGTCTTGTATATGCGGATTCACATATTATCCAATCATTGTTTTGTTGATATACGATATGCCTGTGCAATGCAAGAGGGAACTAGCTTCTAATTTTGCTTTATGTTATCTTCTCTAACAATAGTTTATAACGTATGCATACTGAGGTAAATTAAACAATAAAATATAGATGTCATGGTACTCCTCAATTATGATAAGACAGAATAATGAGCAACAGAGTATAATAACTAATTGCCTAATATAATTTGCTATCAAGTAAAATTAATTCATTGGTTATATATATAGTTTTACTTGATTTTCAATTCTTTTTTTGTTTTTTTTCCCATTGAATATATTATAACAGTTCAAGCTGGTTTGGAAATCATTTTCAACATAACAAAGATGGGATGGGCGACCTCGCTCTTTGTCCCGTAAGGGTTCTGATACCATGTTTCGGTAGAGAAAGCATGTGTGACGACACGTCGAACAAAGATAGGTGTCTAAAGGATTAGGGCTCTGATACCATGTTTCGATAGAGAAAGAGAGAAAACATTAGAAATGAATATTATTTGTATATTCTGGAGTGAGATGAGTACATCTGTACATACAAGATACACGTACAAAGAATCCTTAGTGAAAGTTGAGCTGAAAACCGATAACGAGCAAATTGCTCGTATCTTACGACTGGATGAAGAAATTAATAAAATTGATCCAGTACTGACTGATGTTATGACCAAGTTGACGATCGCCAGTGAACATTTGTATGGCATACTCATAACCATATCTATCGTGCAGCGAGTTGTTGTGCCAATTACTTGCGAAATAATGCACGGCTTCTCAAGTCTCGCACTGCCCTTAAAAGTTAACCAAAAAGCATGTTTAGGAGACTTAAGAAAATGGTCTGACAGAGATAACAAGAAATTCTTCTGGTATGTTTATTTCATTAATATTTCACAACAAATGTATTTGTTGCATTTATATGTCAACAATAAAAACAAGAGTGATTTGGACACCTCCACGAAAGATGTTCTTGAAGTTCAATGTGGACGGAAGTTGTTCTGGAGGCAAAGGAGGTTTTGGCGGATTGTTCAGGAGCCCAGCTGGTGATATTCACTCTTTTTACGCCAAACACTTGAAAGAAACTACTAGCTTTCAAGTAGAGTTATTATCCGTTCAAGTTGGTTTGCAAATCATTTTGAAGAAATCCTTAAAGAAGATTGAGCTGGAAACCGATAATGAGCAAACTGCTCGTATCTTACGGCAGGATGAAAAAATTAACAAAGTTGATCCAATACTGACTGACGTTATGACCAAGTTGACGTTTGCCAGTGAACATCTGTATGACATCCGCATAAACCATATCTATCGTGCAGTCAATTGTTGTGCCAATTACTTGGCAAATAATGCACGGGTTCTCAAGACTCGCCCTCCCATTAGAGTTAACCGGAGAGCATGTTTTGGAGAATTAAAAAAATGGGCTGACAGAGATAACAAGAAATTCTTCGGATATGTTTATTTTATTAATATTTCACAGCATTGTATTTGTTGTATTTAGACATCAACACTAAAAAAATATGTGATGCTTCTGCAGTTGATGGAGAACAAGGCACGCATAGAAGATATTGTCTTCATGAGCGAGGGGAGGGGTGTTGCTGGGTTTTGCATGGACATGCATATTCTCATTGTACCTAACATTGTCTTGTATATGCGGATTCACATATTATCCAATCATTGTTTTGTTGATATACGATATGCCTGTGCAATGCAAGAGGGAACTAGCTTCTAATTTTGCTTTATGTTATCCTCTTTAACAGTAAATTATAACGTATAAATATTGAGGTAAATTAAATAATAAAATATGAATATCATAGTACTCCTTAATTATGATAAATAGAAGAATGAGTGGCAGAATATAATAAATAATTGCCTAATATAATGAGCTATTAAGTAACATTAATTCATTGGTCATATTCACAGTTTTACTCGATTTTTAGTTCATTTTTTTGTTTCTTCCCCCATTGAAAAGCCCTTTGAGAAATTTACTGTAAGAGGAGATTAGTCACTCCAACTACCAGTTAATAATCGGGCTCTACCAAAAAGCAAATATACCCATAGTTTATTAATTGTTGAGATTTTTTTAAAAAAATGTACTTATTATCAATATAATTCAAAAGTTATAGTCATTTCCTTCCATTAATAAATAATTTTTAATATGATTGACTCTCATTTTATTTGGAACCTTGTAGGAAAATTAATTTGAGGCTGTACGTAGCGCTTCCTTAAATAAACGCCACAAATTAACAGCGCTTCCTTACAATAGTCAATAGGTACTATACGTAGCGCTTATTCTTAGAAACGCTATAACAGACCTTTATTTTTTAAAACTTTCTCCTTCAAGTGTTGCGCTTTATATACAAAGCGCTACATAATTCCCGTTGAGATTTTTTTAAGAAATGTATTTGTTATCAGCATAATAAAAATGTTATAATTATTTCCTTGCTTGTATAAATAATTTTTAATGCGATTGGCTCCCATTTTATTGGGAACTCTAATTGGTAGACGCAGCGCTTCCTTATGTAAACGCCACCATACGAGAAAGCGTTTTGTATAAGTAGCGCTTCTCTTTGAAAGCGCTATAACATACCGTCATTTTTTTTAAACTTTTAAAAACATGTCAGATGTTGCGCTTTCCTCAACAAGCGCTACAAAGTGCCTGATGCGTTTTTTTTTCAAGAAATATATTTGTTTTCGACATAATAAAAATGTCATAGATATTTCCTTGCATTGATAAATAATTTTTAATATGATTGGCTCTAATTTTATTTGGATCCGTGTAATAGAATTAATTTAAATGTATGTCGGATGAAGGTTACATCATCAACTATTAAGGTAAAAAATTATGATTATATGATCAATAATCCTAACTGTGAAAAACATGCAGACTGAATATTAAAAAAATATATCGACTTAATTAAAAATAAATAGAAATTATAGGGGCTTACATGTTAATTTTCTTTCAGTATTACTTTGTTCTCAAATTTTAACTTTAATTTTAAATTTTTGTAAAAGAAAATCCAAAAAATATTTCATGAG